CTCTTTCCCCCTCACCATGGACATGGCCACTGGACACCAGGTACACTGAGGCTCCCTGAGGCCAGGTGAGTGGTCTAAAGACATAAAGTCAGAGACCACAGAAACAGGGGATGGTTCTAGAAGGTGCCTGTGCTTCTCATCCGAGTCACTGGTGCCCCTGGGTCGGGTGACTGGTGTGGGGATGACAAGAAATGCGGGAGAGACGTGGGGCATCTTCCTGGAATATCCATTTTACTTGGTGTCAGGGAAATGTATTTTACATTAAAAGTATATAGTTATGTTATGGCCTAGATGGCAAAACAGAGATGGCTTTTATTTTATTTGTTTTTTTGGCTGCGCAGCTTGCGGGATCTTAGTTCCCAGACCAGGGATGGAACCCCGGTCCCCGGCAGTGAGAGTGCTGAGTCGTAACCACTGGGCCGCCAGGGAACTCGCAGACAGGGATGGATTTTCAAGATTAAACAAGAGTCCCCAAGTTAGTCTTGCCCCCTGGCCAGGCCTCTCAAGGCCAAGCTCCCAGCCCCCTGGGTACCTCTGTGTATGGTTTCCTCTCTCCATCCAGAGAGGCCCTGTTGGTCCATCTGCAGTGCAGATGGGGAAACTGAGGCCCAGAGGGGGCAGTGAGGGGCCCGGGGTCCCCCCAGGTAAGGCTGGGCACACCCGGACTGGGGTCTTGACCTCCTGACGCTGAGCCATGAAGCCCCCTGCAGCTCCAGGGTCCCGAGGGGCAGCTGGGTGGCCTGGGGGGGCGAGGGGCTGGCACTCACCTGAGCACGAAGTCGTGACTGTCTATCTGAGGCCCGTACCAGGACTCTCTCAGGTTGCCAGAGTTGCCCACGACGGCACAGCGCCGGCAGCCCACCAAGCTCTTCTCCAGCAGGGGGTCCACGTTCCCGGGCACCACCTTGAACAGCTCCTTGATGGTGTCGTTCAAGTTACTGGGCTGTTTCTCCCGCTGGAGCCTCTGTGGGCGGAGGACGCAGGACACAGTCAGCCTGGATGTGTTACCTCTGGCCCCCGCTGCTAGGCCCCGAGCCCCCTGTGGTTGGTGACCCAGCCCCTCCTGAGTACCCTTCTCTCTGCTGGGCACCTGGAGATGCAGGCGGCTCAGACAGCCACCTCCCCTGCCAGGAGCCCAAGGGCCACTCAGGGAGATGGGAAGGCAAGAGACCAATCACTCATTCTACAAAGGTTTATCGAGCACCTACTGTGTACTGGCCTCGACGCGATGAGACTGGCTGGTATGAGTAAAGCACGTGGAAGAAGGGTCGGGTGACCCTCCACGCTCGGCTCCCCTCCCCTCTGTTCCCCTCACCCTCCCGCCTCTCAGCTCCCACAGCCCCAGGACCACCGGGCTCCAGCCAGACTCAAGAATCAGCCCTTTGCTGGATGCATCAAGGAGTCCAATGTCTGCTTAACAAATTGTTTTCACACCCACACACAAGGTCAGCTGCCCTGGGACCTCTCTGACCCACAGGCGGAGGCAAACACTGGGTTTATCCTGAGGGTGACCAGCCACCTGGTTGGCCCAGGGGTTTCCCTAGAAGCAGGACTCTCAGTGCTACAAGTGGGATGAGTGGGTCGCCCTATTGAGCCCTCTCTCTGTACAACCACGTCCGTCCACTGCCTCAGGGGGAGCTCAGCCACGCTACATGGTGACAACTCTCTGATGCACATTACTCCCCCACTCAGAGTGAAACCTGGAGAGATTTCCTAAGAAGCATTGCATCTGCCTGTGTCACCAAGCCGCAGGGCTGTGTCACTTCAAAGGCAGATGAGAAAGGATGCTCTGGGGCCCAGGTCGGTTGAGCACGTGCCCCGAATCCAAAGCAGGATTTGAAGCCAGGCTTTTATAAACCCACCTTGAAGTCTCTCCCACAACATCACCCCTGCCTCAGAGCCCTGGAACCTTGACCTTTGGAAAGCCCAGTCCCTGAGCTTGGGGAGGGGTAGGTGGCTGTGGGGTGAGTCCCACCAGTCACTCCCCGCCCCAGGGACAGGAGAGGGGCTGGGAGAGAAAGGTGAGGCTAGCAGCTACTTTGGCCACCGTCTAGGAGGTCAGTGACGGGGGATTGCGTAGGGAGATCCCCAGGCATCTGGTCCCCACCTGGCATTGGAGGAATCAGCATCCCCAAGGAGAGGTACACCGGGAGACCTGGATGGTCCTCTAGATAAAACCACCTAGCATCGCCTCCAGCCTAAGACACTCACATGCTGCGGGAGCCGCAGGCAATGACATCAGGACCGCAGACACACTTCTACTCAGAAACATCACTGGTTACAATAAAAGAGAAAGGGAAACTAGCAAGCGTCGGTGAGGACACTGGGACACTCGTGCTTTGCTGGTGGGAATGTAAACTAGCACAGCCGCTGTGGAAAACTGTTTGGTGGTTTCCCGGCAATTCCATTCCGAAGTATTAAAAAGAACTGAAATCAGGGAATTCCCTGGCAGTCCAGGGGTCTGGACTCCGCGCTGAGGGCCCAGGTTTAATCCCTGGTCGGGGAACTAAGGTGCCACAAACCGCAAGATGAAGCCAAAACAAAAACAAAAACAAACAAAAAAAAGAACTGAAACCAGGGTCATGAGCACATACTTGTTCACTCGTGTTCACTGCAGCATTACTCACAATAGCCAAAAGGTGGAAACCACCCAAGTGTCCATCGACGGACGAATGAATAAACAAAACGTGGAACATGCAGACACTGGAATATCATTCAGTTATAAAAAAAGGGACATTCTGATATATGCTCCCAATGGATGAATCTTGAAAACGCTTATGCTAAGTGTTATTTCACTGGCATATTTGCTGGACACAGAAGGACACATATTGTACGATTCCACTCACAGGAGATGCTAGAATCGCCAAATTCTAGCATGTAGAATGCTGGCTGCCTGAGGGATGAGAGGGGTGCTGAGGGGGGTGGTTATTAATGGGTACAAGGGGCTTTTGCTGGAGGTGACGAAAGTGCCAGGTACGGGTAGTGGTGATGGTAACCCAACATCGTGAATGCATTTAATGCCATGGAATTGCACACATAAAACAGTTGATAAATATTATGTTATGTATATTTTACCACAATAAGACAAAAACTATATCCAGATTAAACACGGGCTCCGATAGGATCTCCTGGGGCAGCTCCGGGCTCCTGAATCACCTGGGCTAATGTGTGACATCTGGGCAACAGAGCCATTTCTCACAGGCTCCCAGGTGATGCTGCTACTGATGCAGGGACCACACTCTGAGAACCCCTGGGATCGAGGACCACAGCCAAGCTGCCCGGCAGGGACCTCCTCGGGGGCCCCCACCCGGGAAGAGCCCTGACAATGTGGAGATGCGCTCAGAACCAGAGAGTGTCCTCCATCCGTGTCATTACCTCGGGGAGCATGACACTGTATGCTGGGTTAAGGGAGCAACACGGCATTCTTTAATCCAGCGCTCAGCAATATTTACTGAGCACCTACTATGTGACACACGTGCCTGCTTTGCCTCGGGGGCCCCGGGGTTTGAAGGCTCACAGCCTGCAGGGTACCCGTGCTGGGAGTGCAGCATCATGTTGTCCCGTCCACCTGCTACTGACTTACCCCTCTTTAACGATTCAATTTAAAAAGTAAGTTCATTTTTAAAGGAAATCTCATATCTCTGCCACAAGTGGAAAGCAAGAGTTACTTGGCAAAAGTAAAAAAAAATCTGTCCAAAAAAAAAAGGAAAGTGTCCAATACAATGAAAACAAAACCACTTTATTTGATTCCAGCTCCATCCTGTTGCTTGCCCAGGCAAGCCGCCCTCCTTTGCTAGAACCAAGATGGGCAGGTGTTAGAAGCACATCATGAAACAAGGAGCGACATTTAATCCTTGCAACTTCAAAGATGGAAAGAGAATTAAAGCCGAATGACATCCTCGCCCTGAGCGTGATGCGATGCTCTTAAAGGCCCTGCCCCTGTATCACCAGGAATCACGCTGCCCCACCGGCTCAAACTTCAGGAACCTTGGCTCTGTTTCAGACGCTCACTGGCAGGAACGGAGACTGAGGCCCAGAGAGGGAAAGATCTAGGCCACGGGGAGAGTACAGAGCTGAGTAGAACTCAGGGACAGCGGGCTGGAATCGAGCTGTGTTTCTGGGGATTAGAGCCCTAAAGCATCCACTCACCAGCTGCGGTAGATGAGGCAGGTCAAGTACCACTATGTCCCCGTCTTCCTTGGGAAGGAACCCTCTGACTTCTCTGCCTTTTGTAAATGACAACAGAAGTCCCAGAGGGCTGCTGACATGCACGCAGGAGAGAAAGGGCAGAAGTTCCAAGACACCCTTCTCCCCTCTCACTCTTCCTGCCTAGTTTCCAAGCAGTGTATTTCTTTGTCTACAATCAGCGCTCAAGCAGTGGCTGCTGCTGGTTGTCAGAGGCTCCCTGAGGAATCATCACGTCTTAAGGCAGAGCCTGGAGGCAGAGGCTGAGACAGCCAGCATCACCCCACTGCTGCAGCACACGGGGGACTTCGCGATACCCAAGGCACCTGAGCTGTCAGCCCCCAGCTCCTGAAGGCTTCTTCCTGATTCCCCCACGCCTGCCCTCCCTCCCATGTGGGTCTGGGGGAGCAGCGGTGGGCAAGAGGACGGGAAAACAAGGGTGCCTTGGGGCGCGGGCAGCCGGGTCCCAGGCCTGACTCTGTATGGATGGCTGAGTGACCTCAGTCAAGTCCTTCCCCTCGTCCCGGAGACAAAGGTGGAGAGGGCAGACACGAGGGGTCTGCTCCAAACCAGGGCCCCGAGTAGGTCTGGGGAACAGCATGTCTAGGGCCAGCCCCTCTGACACCTGGCATCAATCCCCTTCTGCGGGCTCCCCGCCAGCCGAGCATCCTTCAGGGCACTTCCCACCAGGCACGTCATACTTTAAAAGCAGGGGCTCTGTGTTTGGGGTCCTAAATCTGGATCTGTCAAGACATTGTCCTGGCTGTCTGGGGGGCCTTTATGCAGAGCTACAGTGCCTGCTGGAACTCCCAGGGTGTTTTGTTTGTTTGTTTGTTTTTATTTTTGTTTTTTTTTGCGGTATGCGGGCCTCTCACTGTTGTGGCCTCTCCCGTTGCGGAGCACAGGCTCCTGACGCGCAGGCTCAGCGGCCATGACTCACGGGCCCAGCCGCTCCACAGCATGTGGGATCTTCCCGGACCGGGGCACGAACCCGCGACCCCTGCATCGGCAGGCGGACCCCCAACCACTGCGCCACCAGAGAAGCCCCCAGGGTGGTTTTTATTTCAATATTCTGTGTCTCCGTCTGGAGGGACAGGAGTGCTTGTCAGATGTGGTGCCCTGATTCTTTACTCAAAACATGTGGTCTGTGTGTTGTCCAGGAACCTAGAAGCTCTGAAGCCCTGCTCCTTTCTGTTGATTTCTATTCATGAGGACCCTTCTCCAGTTCCTTCCTACCCTGCAAAATCCCTTCCAAGAGGCTAAACTCCAGCAAAGAAGGACTGCACATAAGGGCTGGGGTGGGGACGTGGGAGGACAATTTGATGAAACGGTAAGAGCCTCATGGGAAAACATTCAGCCTTCATAAGTGCGGAAAGAATGCAAATTCATTTTCCCTTGCCCGTTAAAACAGCAAAAATAAATTAAAATGTTAAAACCTAATGTTTGCGGTGCTATAGAGAAACCTGGTGAGGTGACTCTTACTACCTCAGTCTGAGAATCAGATGAAGAGCTTCCTGAACATCACTCTTGATAAGATATAGAAAGTCAGGAGCAAAACCCAGGGACCCTGGGTGCCTATCACCCATCACCCTGCCTTGTGATGGTCTGTTTTCCCTTCTCTTCCAACCATCCCTGCAAGCTAAAAAGGCAAGGCTGTTTTTTTCCATCTCAATATCTTGGCATCTAATAGATGCTCAATAAGTCTTCAATGAATGGATATTTCTCACTCCCCTTCAATCCACTTTGCGCTCAACAACTAGATATCATGGACCTCCCCTAGTTAAAATGCTACAGTGGTTTCCTGTTACACTTAGAACAAACCCCAGGCTCCTGGCTCTGGGTCCTGCCCACTCCCAGACGCCCCCGCGCTCACGGCCACACACAGCTCCAGCTCCTCCAACACACCAAGTGGATGCTGCCCCAGTGCTCTGGCACTCGCTGTCCCCGTGACCGGCGGCACTTTCCCCAGATCCTCCCGCAGCCGGCGCCCTCTCTGCCTTTGGGTCTCGGCTCAATTCCCGGCTGCTCAGAGACCTTCCCGATGAGCCCATTTACAGAGGCCTCTGCCCCAAGTTTCTCCCAAACCCCTTTTATCCTCCTCCGAGCACTTCTATCTGAGTCTATCTTGTTTATTTGTTTCTTATCTGTCTCTCTCTGCCAGAATATAATTCCATGAGAATCACGATCTGGTTTTTTTTTTTGGCTTCTCCATCCCCAGAGTGGGTTAAATAGTGGCCTCTAAACAGATATGCCCAAGTCCTAATCCCTGGAACCTGCACCTTGAGCTCAGGCTTCTGCCTCCGGAATCACGAGAGAATGTGTTTCTGTTGCCGTAAGCCACCATGCGTGCGGTCACCTGTTACGGCAGACACAGGGAACTGCTACAGAGCCCTCTGCTCTGATTTATAATGTATATACAGGAGATCCTCAATAACAGAGGCTGAATGCATGAACCAATGAACGCACGGATGGCCAGTATTCTGAATCCCGCCAAGCGCCTGGCAGGGCCCCTGGTGCGCGCTTGGGCCTGAGCGTCTGGCAGCCGGGGGCCGCCCACACCTCACCCCCAGACCCACACTCAGCCCCGGCTCTCACCAGCCACCAGCTGTAGGTGTCTTCCTCCAGGAGCGCGTTCTTGGTGGTGAGCAGCGGCTGCAGGGACCGGTTGAATCTCTCGTCGAACCAGGAGGACACCCCGCGCTGTCCGACGCAGCGGGCGCAGGTGCAGGGCCTGTGGGGGTAATTGACGAGTCTCCTGAAGTTGTCTGAGAGCTCGAGGACCATCTGCCTGGGGAACCACGCGGTGGCCACCATGGTGTGGGAGTAGTTCAGGAAAAAGGAGGTGAGGAAGATGAACAGGGTGAGTAAAGTGAGCACTTTGAGAATTCTTTTCCTCGCGGTCGCCATTTCTGCCTTCCTGACGCGGGGGCGTCCCAGGGATGGGCTGCAGGAAATCACGCCTAATTGAGGAAGAACTTCACGAAAGATCCCAGAGACAGAGGCAAGGCGGGGAGCCCCAGGGAGCCTCAAAGCCTCCTATGGCCACTGCTGCTGGGCAACGGCCACCCGGCTGTGCCCGACATCACCCGCGACACTCGAAGGCCAAGCGGGCCACTTGTGGCGGGGTGCCTCTGCTGGCGTATAATTTGTCTTTTCAGGAAATAAAGTGGCCTGCTTCGTCAGCAATCCTTAAACAGCCGATAATGTCTCCTGATGAAGCTTTAATCGAAACTTGATAACAGTGATTTCCTTTCCCGTCCACGGGGGTTGAGGGGTAATTAATCTTTGTGACAGGCCAGGGTCCCTCGGAGGTGAGGGCCTCGAAGGAAGGGTCGTGGTACAGGACAGGGGCAAGCTGTCTTTGTCACCGCCCTCCAGAGGAGACAGTGTGTGACAATCCTTAATTAGAACTTGGTCTTGCCCATACTGTCACCAGAGATGTGGTGGTGAAGCAGCCGACTTGACAAAGGCACTGAGGGTTGTCTGTCATCTGCACAGAAAAGGAGGAAGAAAACAGGATGAACTTCTATTACTTTTTTATAAAAACCATTTCTCTCTCTCCACTTCCTCCCGTCGTCTTCCGTTCTGTTGTCAAGCCAATGTGGCAGGTGGCTACAGACAATTTTTTACCCTTTTGAGCCTCAGCGTGTGCATGTGTACAGTGGGATGTTAACGCCTATCCTTCAAGGTTGCTAAGAGACACGGAAGGTGGCCCACCCATCTTTCCTGCAACCAGAACCTAGTACCTTTAAGAATCAGACCTGAGTTTGTGAAATGAGTTAATAATGCACGTACAGTGCCAGGTACACAGAGATTGCCAAGTACATGCTACTTTCTCTCTCCTTCACTCTCTCTCTCAGATTCTAAAGTTCAACCACAACCAAAATGGTATGCTTAGGGGGTGGCCCAGGCTTCCACCTGGCCCAGGTTCAAGTACTGGTTTACCAGTTGTATGGCTTTGGGAAAGTTATTCAACCTTCCTGACCCTCAATTTTCCCTTCTGTAAAATGGGACAGTAATAGCTCCACTTATAGAATGGTTATGAAGATAAGACAAAATGCTATATGCTGGGACTTCCCTGGTGGCGCAGTGGATGAGACTCTGCCTGCCAATGCAGGGGACACAGGTGCGAGCCCTGGTCCAGGAAGATCCCACGTGCCACGGAGCAACTAAGCCTGTGTGCCACAACTACTGAGCCTGTGCTCTAGAGCCCACGTGCCACAACTACTGAGCCCACGTGCTACAACTACTGAAGCTCGCATGCCTAGAGCCCGTGCTCCACAGCAAGAGAAGCTACCGCAATGAAAAGCACGTGCACCGCAACGAAGAGTAGCCCCGGCTCGCTGCAACTAGAGAAAGCCCGCGTGCAGCAACGAAGACCCAATGCAGCCAACAATTAATTAATTAATTAATTAATTTTTTAAAATGCTATATGCTGAGTTTCTGGTGTTCATTAAGTAACTGCTAAACTTTCATTTTCCATTTTCAATGTACGAATGAATGTTCTTGGATGAGCCACTGACAGCCAGACAGGATGGTACACTCATACATATCTATTTCCTCAGATGATTGACAAAGTATACCGTCAGCTAGCTAGGGGTTTCCCAGGTTGTCCTAAGAAGAAACGGAGATTCAAAGAGATTAACTGACTTTCCCAAGGTCATGGGGAAAGTAAGAAGCAGGATCTGAATCCGGATCCACACCCCTCTGACTCCATGCACCTGGAGGGGCCAGGGTACCAGAAACACGAGCAGGAGGTCTGCCCTGGACGGGACACCCTGTCTGTTAACTGGGCTCCAGATGACCATAGTTGGAGGGATACAGAGAAAGCTGGGAGTTATTTAATCAAAGAAAGCACACCAGGACTCCTCAAATGCTTGTAACACAAGTTCCCACACCTCACTGACTTTCCGGGCTTCTGCAGAGGGCAGCTGTGGTCACACCTCGGCACTTGAACATGATTGCCTTTGGTACTTGCCGGGAACGTGCCCCTATCTCTATTTGTCTGATCAGTTCCTTCCCCATCCTCAACGTGTAGACTATCAACAAGCAGGATATATTTTTTTCCAGGAAAGCAACAGTGGAAGGGAGATTGATTACCTTTTTGGTAGAAAGAAGGGCAGCTCAAAAATCAGATTAAATCCACAGTGGCTTCCTGGAGGCAGCCAGGGCGCAAGATGTGTTGCTTCCACGGCTTCCTCAACACCTCAGCCCGGGTGGCAGCGTCTCTCCATTTGCCTACTGCTCCACTTTCTACTTGTCGTGACAATGTGACTTGTATGTAGAACCTAATGGTGTCCAGAGCTGTCCCTTCCAGCTGTCCCCTGCTTCTCCATCAAGCACCAGCTCTGCCATCTGAGTTAGTTAGATTAACCTGCTTATCCTCAGGGGCGGGCTCTGATTTAACTTGGCAGGCAGAGGGTTCCCACCCCTCCTACTGCACTCATTGGTCCACTCATTGGATGGATATGTAGCCTAATTCATCTGGAGTGAAACTCCTGACTTTTTGCAGTGGGGGGGCAAAGAAACATTCTTTTGCTCTGGCCAGTTTGCTGTTTGGATGTGAGGTCAGGGTCGTACTGGACATTTTGCTAGCTCACTGGAAGAGGCGAACAGTGTTGAATCCCCAGTCGATCCAGTCCTGCAGCCCACCCTATGCCTTGACTTTTCAGGGGCATGAGAGAATAAATCCCCTTTATTGTATAAAGCAGATTGTAACTTGAAGCAACATGACTGACCCACTGGTCACAGTTGCTCCTGCCTCTGGGCACCTACCCAGACTGTCCCCACCGTCCGGAAAATCCACCCCATCCCACCTGGCTCTGATTCATTCTTCAGGGCTCAGCTGGCACTGATCCTGGAGGGAGGCCTGCCCACTGCCGGCCTGAGTAGGGGCCTCTCCTGGCCTCCACAGCATCCTGGCTCCACTCTGCCTGTGCTGTGTACTTAATCTGTCTCCTCCCTGAGCTGGGAGCTCCAGGAGGATAGAAACTCAGTCCCACTCATTGTCGTGGCCCGGAAACCGGGAACGCACATGGCATGAAGGAACGCAGGGGTGAATGAAGGGAAAGA